TCTATAACCATCTTCACACAAAGCGGCCTCGCTGCCTCACCNCTAGTATGAAAACTAAACACTAATTTAAGAATTTAGAAATACAAGATAATTATGATGAACCAGTGTGGAAATAGAATATTATAGATAATTGTCTCAACCATAGCAAGCTTATTAAAAGCTATCAACAATATTTATAGGATTTAAGATGAGATCCTCTATAACCATCTTCACACAAAGCGGCCCCGCCACCTCACCCGATGTATGCTGGTGGAGGTGTACGTGCAATAACACAACTCTAATCAAGCGGCCCTGCCGCCTCACCTCAATGTATGCGGGTGGATGTATAACCACAATACCAAGAACCTACACAAAGCGGCTATGCCGCCTCACCCCAATGTATGCGGGTGGAAATGCATCAACGATACCAATACCAACACAAAGCGGCTATGCCGCCTCACTCCAATGTATGCGGATGGTGGAGCCACAGCAATACCAAAACCATACACAAAGCGGTCGTACCGCCTCACCCCAATGTAAGCGAGTGGAGGTGCAGTCCCACAATATCATAATCCCTACACAAAGCAGTCATGCCGCCCCACCCTAATATATATGCAGGTGGAGGTGTGTGACAATCACAATCTCTATACCATAATGCCCACACAAAGCGGTCATTCTCCTCACCCCAATATATGCGGGTGGAGGTGTATCACAATCGCAATCTCTACACAACTTGGCATAATAACTTTCACATAAATCAAGACTAGAAATTATAACATGTGGATACATAATCCATAGTTTGGGACACATCCTCAATTTATAATGCAATATGATAAGAGCATTTGATATACGAATTGAACATATATCTTCATCACAAAAATTATCGGAATACTCAATTTATAATCAACATCTCAGAACTTACAAGGATAATGAGAATTCCAATTCTTAAAGAAGAGTTTAGCCAACATACCTCACTTGAGCTTCCTTACACTCTAAATATTCCGGAATTCTTAGCAACTTCAATCTTTTTTAGAAATATAACAAATTGAACCAAAATTAGAAAGATAGTTATGGTTCTAGTTCATTTGAGCATTTTATCAAATACTAGATGTGCATTAAGGTTTCAAGGCCCTTTTCATGACCCAAAGAGTGTATTTAACGAAATAGGGTCGGGTTTTAAAAAACCAAAAATGAAGCTCCGGAACAAGGTATGCGATCGCATAACCGATATGCGGACCGCATATCGGTCGCATAGTTGGTTACAAAATAGCCAAAAGAATTGTCTGTGTATGCGGTCACTATGCGATCCGCATAATCGTTATGCGGTCGCATAATGCACCACATAACAGTTATGCGGTTACATAGTCGATCGCCTAATTGCTTCCAATTGGTCTAATTAACTGCCTCACTCTACGGCCATTATGTGGTTCGTAGAGTGATTCTGCGGTCGCATAATGGACCGCATAAATGCACTTTTTCGCCAAAAAGTTTTCTTTACTTTCCGGTGCATTGTTCAACCCAAAAAAAGTCTGAGCCGCGGTGAGCTTGCGAGCCGCGAAGAATTTCTACAATCCTCAAACACATAAGCCTAGTCTGACACCATAAAACATTATTTTCTTGGCAAAATTTACCGGGCTTACCACTTAAGTACTTCAAAATTTTTTCGGGGTGTTACAGTTAACTCCTCCCGGATTCGGAGGAAAGCCTCATGGTGCAATACCGAGGCCTGCAAGCGTAAAGAAATATGTTAGGATTATTTATGTCACGACCCAATTTCACCTATAGGTCGTGATGGCGTCGGACACCGCTGTCAGACAAGCCAACAATAAATACTAAATAAATTCTCATTTTAATATTTTTGAAGTCATAGTTGTTCCCCTCAATTAAATAGCAGAAGATGACATTTACCAAATACGTACTAATATCTTTAAAAATTTCCAATACAGTGCAACCCATAATCATCTCAAAATCCGGTGTCACAAGTGCATGAGCATTTACTAGGGAATGAAAATAAAAGACGGCATCTGTCTAGAATACAAATTAGAGAGGAAAATATAATAACTCTGAAGGATACTCTATTAGCTGCAGATCGTAATATAGAATGCAGCTCACCTATGTCCCCACAATTATTAACCACACCTCTGCGCCCACAAGGCCGCTATACATATATGTACCTGCACAATAAAATGTGCAGCAAGTGCAGTACGAGTACTAAAACAACGTGTACCCAGTAAGTATCAAGCCTAATCTCGAAGAGGTAGAGACGAGATGGCCGACTATGACACTCACTATGGGTCAATAATATTAAATAATCATGAAAATAGAAATATTTATATCAACGTGATTCACAGAGTTAACAATAATTTTATTGTACCAACATAGGTAATTAAATTCCAATAATTCTCAATATATTAATTAAATTCCTTCAATTCAAATAATTTCTAATCTATTAATTAAATCCTTCAATTTCAATAAAAATTCCAATTTATCAAATAGCTTTACAAGCTGCAATTCAATTTCAATAAATTTTCAATTTATCAAATAGCTTTACAAGCTGTAATAAACTGTCCAAGTATCGTGAAATTATTATTATTATTAAGTGCGATTTCTGCCGAGGTCGTACGGCCCGATCCAGAGTTTCGTGTACACTGCCGAGGGACGTGCGGCACGATCCATAGATGCATCTATCCTGCCGAGGCGTTCGGCCCGCTCCACAAGAAAGGAGGACATTTTCTTATGTACCTCCGGAAGGAGAGTATATTCATTATAAGATAAATTCGGGAGGATGAACAATTTCTTTAAACAGTTAATTAATTTAAACAGAAAATTAAGCATATGAAATTTTCATCTTTATTATATTTCCTAACAATTCACAATTTATATATCAAATAATTCAATTAAATAAAGAATACAATTTACACAAGTAATTCATGCTTTGTGTCCTAAACTACCCGGACTTTAGCATTAATAGTAGCTACGCACGGACTCTCGTCACCTCGTGCGTACGTAGCCCCCACAATTAACAACCATTATTAATTTAATCACCTATGGGGTAATTTCCTCCTCACAGGATTAGACAAGAGACTTACCTCGCTCCGAAATTCCATAGCCGGCTCCCAAGCCTTTCAAATAACTCGACTGATGCCCAACGCTCCAAAACTCGCTTTCGCTTTATTAACATTCACAAGCTTTTAATCCTCCTCCGACATAGTAACATTGAGTAAAATACTCATACGCCACCAACAAATTTATATCTACAATTACAATCCTAATTACAATCAAAATATGACTAAAAAATATTTATCAATATCCATTCATGGCTCTCAAGTTGGCTACAAGTCTCCAGCTCAAATCATCTAATAGGTTCACTTACTAGCACATTCAATTCCACTCTTATCATTCAATACCCATTTGAAGTTATCAATGATACTACATTAATTCTCCAACACCGCCAAATTACTATTCACCGTCTTCCTTAACCGACATTTCCAAAACATTCAATTTGGTGATTACTTAGTTGAATACTTTCAACTAAGCTAGAATATGATTCCATAGGTTCATTGCATCCTTTAATTTCATTTCTAAGAACACTATTTATCTTTCCCTCATTTTCTCAAGAACACTATTCATGCCATGAACTAGAGTTTATGAAATCAATTATCTAACCATAACAACTTGAAACAACTATTAGAATTACTCTCACCGACTCATAAGAAATAAGCTTGAAGCATTAGTATTACCTTCTTGAAGCTTTTCCTTGAAATTCTAATGTTTGGGAAATTTGGTGTTCTTGAACAACTTGAAAGATTTATAGGGATTTCAAAGATTGAAGGATGTTAATACTAGTGTTAATAGGATGTTATTAACTTAAAATATCCAAAAAAAACTCACCTTGTATTCTTAAGTAGTCCCCAAGGTCGAATCCACCATGAAAGAACCAATCCCTAGCTCAAGAAAATCCCCAAAAATGGCTGCTGCCCGTGACTGCCTTATAAAGGCACAGGTGCTTCAGCGAGTTGTACCTTGCGCTGTGCAGGTTGTACCTCGTATTACAAGTTTTGCCCTGCTGGACACCATTTACTAAAACGTCCATAAGTCCTTGTAGAAATATCCAAATGACGAACGGTCAAAAGCGTTAGAAACTAGACTCGAAGATCTTTCATTTGATAGGTTGTCCACCATATAAATCCATATATATATATATATATATATATAGGCATGCTCGTCCAAAGTTAGGTTTTTGTGTGTACTTATTTGGAACTTTAGTCTATCATGTAATTTCCAACTTGATTAAGACTTAGGGCTCTCCTTAGACCCTACATCACTTATAATATGACTCGTTCACTTATTAACATATGAACCTGCTGGAACCTTAAAATCCTGATTCCGGGGTCGTTTTCTCAAAGTGTTGACCGAAGTCAAATTTGCCCTTTTAAGGCTAACTTAAGGAACCAAGTGTTCCGATTTTAACCCAAACACTTCCAAATCCCGAACCAACCATCCCCGCAAGTCATAAATCATTAAAAACATATTCGGGGAGTTTTATTTGGGGAAACGAGGTTCTAAAAGTCGAAACGACCGGTTGGGTCGTTACAATTTACAACTTCAAATTTAAAATAAATAATGGAGTGACACTCAAAGTTACCCGATTTAAAGCGTGTTGGGCCTCATTGAATAGGCAAGGCTCTTCCACCGCGTCCATCACGAATTGGTCCTCTTCGATCACCAAGCAACTGAGGTAGCTAGCAACCCTCACGGGGGCAGAGAAACCCCGGGCATCCTCCGGGGTAGAGAAAACTATCGATCACCTGTGGTTAGGGTTAACACTGGGGACGGGAACCGATCCACCAGCTTTGGGCTCGATGAATACCCACTGGCACCCGATGATGGTACCTTCGTTGGCACCGGCAAGTCACCAAGCCCGGTGATATCTTTTGAAGCAGTGGACTCTAACCCATCCAAGAAATTGTGGATATCAGTCGCCCCCTTAGGCCCCTCGTAGGAACGACTTTCTAGCATACCGGCCTCGCTATCATGGCGTCTGAGATCTGAGGGGACCCGGTAAGGTCGATCTCCCTAAGCTCATCCCTCGGGGCACCTCCCTCTGCCCTAGAAGTGTCAGCCCCGGTCTCTCTCTCGACCTCCCTGGCCTGGGGCAAAGCAGTCGCACCTCGTTCCGGTTCGCAGGTACCGGTCAATGCCTTCTCAACAACCTCCTCAGTTCGAGGCAAAGTGGTCCGCACCTGAGCCACTAGCTCGGAGTTATCTTCTTCTTCTTATTCGAACTCATCCCTCAGTCGGCAGATCGAGTTCGATGGGAGGGTGCTGGTACTTTCCTTAGCTTTACGCGCCAGCCTCTTATTTGGTTTTTTCTTCTCCGAGTCCAGAGAGCTCGGGACCCTTTTTCTCTTCTTCTCGTCACCTTGCTTCGGAGTAGGGGACTCGAGAGGCATATCCTCACCCTCGGATGGAGGCCTCATAGCAACATCCTTGGGGAGACCTAAAAAAAAAAATAGAGCCGATAAGAATTCGACAACACAAGGAGAAAGTCAAAACCTTATCGAACCAGAAAAGGAAACTTAGCATGATTACGGGCCTCCCACCGACCCTTCGATAATTCCATCCAAGCACACTCGGAGTATGGTCTCTGTGACAAAAGGTCCTCAACCCATTCCTTGAGTTGAGGAACCGCATTCGGCATCTGGGCCATAGTTGCAACACCAAAAACACCCATAAAAAAGGAGATAAGAGGAGAAACAATAGATTAAATCTTCAAGGTAAAGTAATACTTACGTTTCATGTTCCATTTATCGGAAAATGGCATGTCCTTGGCAGGGATCAAATCTGAAGTCTTTATTCGAACAAAACGGCCCATCCAACCTCAGTCCCGAGCCTCATCTATACTCGAGAACGGGGCCCTACTGGCCCAGCGAGCAAGCTTGATTATCCTCCCCGATAGAGTCGGGAACTGTGGAGACGCATAAGGTGATCGAGGGTGAAGGGACACCCCTCGATTTTGTTTACGAAGAATCGAAGGAGAATCACTATTCTCCAGAATGAAGGGTGAATCTGGCCAAGAGTCACGTCGTACCTCTTGCAGAAGGCAATAATGATCAGGTCTAAGGGACCCAACGTGAAGGGGTAAGTGTAAACACTTAAAAAACCCTCCACGTGGGTAGTGATTGACTCCTCAAGCAAAGGCACCACCACATGTTTATTGGCCCAGTTGTAATCTCCTTTAACCTTGGTGAGGAGATCATCTGTGATCGTACATTTGTACCTCAAGACTGGCTCGCATCGACCTGGTACCGAGGAAGTGTTTTCAATCTTAAAATAGGCAATGGTCGGCACCCTGTAGGAACGAACTCCTCAGGGTGTGGTTCCGCCGTAGCCCCGTCGCCGGCGGGTCGTGATGAAGAGACGGCCTCCTTTTGCGGGACAGTCTTAGAAGTTTTTGCCATTGTAGAACAGAAGAAAAGGAAATTAGGAAGGTATGTTTAGTGGTTTGCTAAAAGTTCAAGAAATTTGGGTGCAAGAGTTGGAGAGCAAAAGGATTATTGAAGAACAAGAATAGTAGGAGCATTGAACGTAAAGTTTGAATAAATGAAAGTTAGGGTGTTTATAGCTTGCTGATGACGGTTCAGAACCCGTAGTGGCCGACCAACAACTGACAGGCATTTAATGCCTTGGTAACTGGGCCGACGGGACATTTCAGTATCCGTTTGTCGCTTACGTCATAGTCGGGTGTCTCAGTGGCCGTTAGTCGCTTACGTCATGGCCCATCGAGAGGGGATTCAGAAGTTCATATCATTTTTCGTCATCTTCTCTCCGACAAACGAGGGGAATATCTGTATATGGTCAAAATCGGGTTCGCCTCTTGTGTGACTAATCGAGACTGAAATATGGTAGGTTAAAGTTCGACCTCGAATTATATCGAACCGAGGTGCGAAGTTGTTTCGTTAAGCTCGAGACCATGTCATCGAACAAAATTGAGATCAGACGAGATCGAGGGAAATTTTCCAAGTCGAATAACAGAAGGACGAAATATCCGCGATCGGTTGTAAATCACGGCGGAAATCTCGGCACGTATCAAGGATAGGCCGATTGATTAGCAAATCATGAGATTTTATACCTTGTATAGAATTGTATCAAGAGTAGGATTCCCCTACTATATAAAGGGGGTCTGATCAATTGTAAGACAGATCACATTACGCAACATAAAGCAATATACTGTCATTTTCTAGCTTTTATCATCTTGTTATTCTATTCATACATCAGTTGAGACATCTCTTGGTTCAAGGGTGATCGAACTCGAGGGCCAAGGTTGTTCGATTTGGTAAACAGTTTGACGTAAGGTTGTTCGATTTGTGCGGTTTGCATTTATTCTTTTATCGTCAATTTCAATTCTAATCTATTTCCTTAATTTGTATCAAGTTATATCACGTATCCTTAAAACCGCGTATAAATTCAATTGTTATCCGATTTTTAGGGTAAACAAATTGATAAACCCTCTATGATTGCATTGAATTTAATCTAATTTTTTTTGGCTTCTCTGTTTGTTGTTTGCATAGCAAAGTTGTTTGATTAGGGCGGCTTCCACAAGTATGATCTAACTTGGAAGTGACCGAAGTAATTCAAAAATTACCGTGGCTGTAGCGATTTGACCAATTTTGGTGATGTGGCTAGTGTTGCACGTGCTTTTCGTGCCTCAACTACTTTCATTTAACTGCCGCCTCATATATTGAAGCCAATCACTGGTTCAAATATTCTTTAAAATTGCCAATAACTTCTTCAAAATTGCTATGTAAAAATCTTTTCATAATTTTGATCTGGAGTACTTATTGTTTCTTATGTACTTTTGACTTTGACGATATTTAGCGACGCACTTCATCGGCCATCACGGTTTACTTAGGCGGTGGAGCATGTTATGATTTAATATTCCAGGTCATAGGTATATGTAATTTGAGAAAGAAGTTATCACAAAAGGAATTCCCAAGTAGCAACAACGCCCATTGAATAGACACTTGCATTAGTGTCACCAACCATCTTGGCGTATGTGCGAGCAAGAGTAGCCTTAGATAACGCAAGGCCGAAACCTGAATTTAAATTTTATGAATGCACATTACCCGGTTATATAAGGTTGCATCCGCCTTTGAGGCAAGGGGTATAGTGGACCTAACGAATCTAGAATATGCAGATGAACAATTAAGGCAAGAGGAATGACAGTTTTTGAGTCTGAGTTACACAGAAAATATAATGTATTTGAGCCTGCTCAAGAAGTAATAGTGTATCGGCAACTTGCGCGTAACCCCTATCAAAGCAGTATAAAGAATAATTTGTAGAAAGGCAAGTTTGATGGTTTTGAAATGTTCGGTACACAAACCTAATAGTACTTAATTGACCAACCACTTGAATTGGCACCCAAACTCTTTCTCCATGACTCATACTAAGGCATGGTATTAACTGACAGTATCTTCATACATTTATGAGTAACCTGCAAAAAAATATAGAATAATGTCTTACTACTTGTGAACCTGATTGAGGACTTTGGCTATTTTAAAAAAGGTACAAAATGCACCTTCATAATTGTCGTATTGAACTCAACCGAAAAAAATGGTACTTCAGCAACGATGGCCAAAAGTGTTGATGAAAGTAATTGAAAGACCTTGATATGTGAACCATCGTGATACTGCTAAAGTGTAAAATGTAGTTCAATCACAGTGAATACAGAACAACCCCAAAACATTCCACATGAAGAAAGATGAATATTACCGAAGAAAGGAGACAAATCTATAAAGAATCTGGACCTAATTTTTGTATATATTATAGTTGCAGAATTCACTTTCCAACGGCACAAGCGGATCATAGTTTTGATATGCCTGCGGAGAGATATTATTATTTTAGTCGGGGCGCACAAAGTTATGAAAAGCAGAATAACATAAATTCATAGTTGAGTTAAAAGGAATATATTTATAAATTTACAAATAATTTGGCCTTGATTATTGTACATATTGTAGTTCTAGAAGTCCCCTTTCCAACGGCATAAGCGGATTATCTATTCTACATGTGTGTAGATAGATGTGATTTTTTTAGTCATAACGCTCAAATATGTAAAAAGTAGAATACCAGAAATTCATAACTTAATTAAAAAGCATATCTGTATTAATTTACAAAGAATCTGGACCTTAATATTTTATATATTGTAGTTCCATAAGTTCTCTTTTTAATGGCATAAGCAGATCGTGGTTTTGACGTCTCTGCAAAGAGATATAACTTTTTTAGTATGGTCGCGCAAAGCTGAAAAAAACATAATGACATAAATTCAGGACTGAGTTCAAAAGAATATCTGTTTAGATATACAAGGAATCTAGACCTGAATGTTTAGATTATTGTAGTTCTAGAAATTCTCTTTCCAACAACGATCGTGATTTCGATGTGTCTGTAGAGAGATTTGATTTTTTTTAGTTAGGACGCGCACAGATGTTAAAAGTATAATATCATAATACCATAACTAAATTCAAAAGCATATATGTATAAATCTACAAAGAATCTGGACCTTTTTTTGTATATATTGTGACTCAGACTTTCTTTCCAACGACACCAGCAGATCATGGTATCGACGTGTCTGCAAATATATATTATTATTTTACTCAAGGCATGTTGTTTCCATTAAAGTTTATGATTCATAAGTTTGTAGACTGAATTACTGTTAAAAGGAAGGATTAGGGAAAAGGAAATGCAAAGAACAGAGAGTATGTGTGCACCTTTTATATTTGACCTTTGAAAATAGAAACATCAAAGCCATATTAAGAAGTCTAAACATCATGAAAAGTCCTTTATATATATATATATATATATATATATATATATATATATATATATATATATATATATATNTCAGTATGGCTTCTGCAAGTATCACGGACTTATAAGCGCCTAAAGTAATTCAAAAATGACTGTTACCGTAGAAATTTGATCACTTGTGGTGTTGCACCTTGTGTTGCAACTCCTTTTCGAGCCTCAATTGCTTTCGTTTGAATGTCGCCTCATTTCCTTAAGCCAATAAGTGGTTCACATAAAACTTTAAAATGACAATTGTCAATCACTGTTTCAAATAAACTTCAAATTGCTATGTAAAATTTCTAACCTATTTCAACCTTGACAGACCATGACAGTTAACAATGTTTTACTCGATTAGTGAATGTTACATTTATGACTCAACAAAAATTTAAAATGGATGAACCAAATTTGACGAACAGTATACCTTAATTAAATGTAAGAATTATACTGGTATTCACTTCATTCCAAAGAAGAGGCCGATTAGTAAGCATTCGAGGGCCATGAGACAGTTTACTTCCAACTGTGATTGAGAAAATTTTTGCATAAAAGATTTGCCACTAAGAAATCTTGCTTATTGATTCAACTATAAATTACCAGTTTTTCTTTGTCAGATATATCATAAGTCGATGACTAAAAAAAATTGAATGTAAAGTGTATATTAGTTGTTCCATGACAAAAATATTAGATGTTCTCAGAATCAACAAAGCTATCGACCTGCTTTTCCAATAACACACCGAGATGGTGTCATAACTATGTAAAAATTAAAAGAATAGTTGAATACCAGTATGTAATTCATGGGTGAAGACCAGCTCCTGGGAAGGAGCTCACTGATGAGTTTAATGTTTTGTAGGCTAATTTGTGAAATTTTTT